GCACCATACTTTGGATGAGCTCTCAGTCAGCCCGTGACTTGAAATGACATTGTTTTGAAAAACCAGTCAGAAACGTTTTGCAACAGTGCGTGTTTCCCTTACAGGAAAGCATCCTAATCCTACTTTTCAGATAAATCTTGGAGGCATCCTCCCACGGCCCCTACACAGGAGATCCAGTGGATTATCTATTCAGTGAAGAAGTGACAGATGCCCGTTTGGTGTGTTCTCTTCGAGTCATTGGTGTTTAGCCAGCTAATATCAGTGTATCCCCACTCAGTAAACAGTATATTTAACTCAGAAGTTGTACAATAGAAATACTTACTTTGAAGTTATGCATGCAAGTCTGGTGACACCCTGAAGTGTGTAGTTTAGCCAGTGTTGACATAGCACTGGTTCTGAAAATGCACATGGTTATATAAGATGTCATCACCAGGGAAGCTGGATGAAGAAGCTGGAACAGTGTGTACTATCTTCGTGAAGTTTTGTGAATCTTAAATTATTTCAAGTGAAAAAGTTGGGCTTTGTTTTTGTTTTTAAGCAAGGTGGAATTGAATAGATGATCTAGTCCAGTTGTTTTCAACTTTAATTTTAGCTATGGCCTCCCTCTTCAGCCTTCCTCAGCAGACCAGGCCCCTCCTGACAACCATAGGGCTCTGTGAAACACCTTTTTTCAGGGTCTCACTCTGTCACCCAGGTTGGAGTGCAGTGGCACAATCATAGCTCATTGCAGCTGTGGTCTCCTGGGCTCCACCTTCCACCTCAACCTCCTGAGTAGCAGGAACTATAGGCATGTGTCACCGCACCTGGCTAATTTTTTTATTTTTAATTTTTTCTTTTTGGTAGAGATGAGGTCTTGCTCTGCTGCCCAGGCTGGTCTCCAACTCCTGGGCTCAAGCAGTCCTCCTGCCTCGGCCTCCCAATTGCTGGGATTGTGAATGTGAGCCGCTGCACCTGGCTTGAAATACATTTTAAAAATGCTGATTCAAACCAATGCCTTCAGGTTTCACATGAGGAAATCAGGGCCCAGGGAAGTAAAATGCATCGCTGTTTAGTGGCTCTTGATAGAAACCCAGAGAGCCGGGGAGCTTTGGGGACACGTTGTTCCCCGGAAATCATCACGAGTCACCAGCGTTGCGGTCTCTTAATCAGACTGGAGACCTCATGCTCCTGCATTCCGTTCTGTGGTGTGAGAGATGGGGTGGTCCATATGGTCGAAACGACGCATGAAGTGGTTCAAACTGGCAGACGTTGTCACAAAACGACAGAGCATTTGCGGATGGTCTTGGAAAGCCCAGGCATGGGGTGCAGGGGACAGGACCTCAGAATCGGCGTGGAGTCCCCTGCCTTCTGCCAGCGTGGCCGCTGCTCTGGCCTCCTGGGAGGGCTGCAGTTGACTGGCTGTGCTGCTTCTTCCCACCCAAGCCCCAGACACTGAAGTGTTTTGGGGAGCCTTGGACACCGGGAAATAGCCTCTTGAGGCTAATATAATAATACTAAACTCGTGTTTGTCTAGGGGTCTTCAGGTTGCAAAGCCTTTCTCATATGTCGCCTGAGCTGAACCTCACCCTCAGCCCAGGGCACAGGCAGACTGGTTTTATTTCTGCTGCCTAAGTAAGTGACCTGACTTTTCCAAGGTCACAGAGTTTGTGTCAGGACTGGGGTTAGAATGCAGGCCCCCAGGATCCTGGCGAGTGCTCTTTTTATAGGGCAGTCTCTTGCTCTAAACCGAAGTCTTATTCGTTGTGAAGCATCTGCACACACTGCTGATCCACAGACAGGTGGTGACATTATCATTGCTGTTGTCTTGGTTGTAACTCATAGGCAGGATCCTTGGCCACACGTGGAATTTTGGATGTGATGACTCCAGGACTTGGTGGTACTCCAGACTCATGCAGGGGGTGGAAGTGATGGTTTCCTGTCTTCCTACACCTCCACATGGCTAGAGCCTGAAGACGCCAGATGGCTGTTGGATGAGCAGGACAGGTTTTCCTGAAAAGTGAAGCGAGTTGCTTGTGTGCCACGTCAAGAGAGATCTATGTCACAACCAACTGGCATGACAGCCACCTCGGGGCTGCCTGGCATGTGCGCGCTCCTGAGGGCTCTGAGTGAGCTGCCGTTTTTTTATTTATTTAGTGCCAGTTGTTGGTGTCTCATTTCTGCAGGGAACACTGGTTGATTCATTTCCCCTGGCATCTTCTTTGCCCTCCACATTGCAGGACACAGCCTTTCCTGTCGACACGGGCACTTTTAATTGGTGCTGGCGTCAGCCGCTCCCTCAACATGCTGGGATACTGAGGATACTGAGGAAGTCAGTAGGTTCCTTTAATGGTGGAAGTCTAGGGCCGTACTTCAGACCTTTTTCACAGCTACTACTTGCTAGGAAAGGTATCCGCTCAAAAAAGGCATTGATTTTTCATGCCCTGAAAAAGGCGGTTAAGGGATAAACTAGTAACTGGCCTCATAAATATTGTCCCTCGTCTGCACGTGCGTTCATCCCGCACCTTGGAGGTGCTTACAGAGTGTCTGTGCAGTGACTTTCCAAAGCAGCTGCTCTCTGTGTTCAGGATGCATGCCAGCATTAGCATCCTCTCCGGGGCCTGCTGGGACACAGCCCTTGGGGCCCCACCCCGGGGTTCTGATTCAGCTGGTCTGGGAGAGGGCTGAGGAATTTGTATTTCTAGCAAGTTGCAGGTGATGCCATGTAGGGACCATACTCACAGCAAATATTTTAGGCTTTGTGGTCCACACAATCTCTGTCACAATGACTCAGCTGTGCCCTTGTAGCTAAAGAAAATACGTAAATAAGTGAATATGCCTGAGTTCCAATAAAATGTTATTTATAAATAGGCCAGGCGCGGTGGCTCAAGCCTGTAATCCCAGCACTTTGGGAGGCGGAGGTAAGAGGGTTGCCTGAGTTCAGGGTTTCAAGACCAGAATGGGCAACTTGGCGAGACCTGTCTCTACAACAAATCAAAATACTACCTGGGCGTGGTAATGCATACCTGTAGTTCTGGCTATTTGGAAGGCTGAGGCGGAAGGGTTGCCTGAGCCCAGCAGGTCGAGGCTGCGGTGGCCGGGAGCGTGCTACTGCACTTCAGCTTGGGCGACGGACTGAGACTCCGACTAAAATATATATATATGTAAAAACAGGTGGTGGACTTGTTTCCAGAAAAATTATATTGCAAATGTGAACATTTTTTAAAACTGTTAAGAGTCAGATGCCTACTCTGGGTAGATCTCTGAAAGCTCTTGGGATGGGACCCAAATGAGGGTCAAATCGTAGGTCTGAGCCCTGTTCACCAGCACATACACAAAATTTGGAACAATACAGAGGTGATTGGCATGGCCCCGTGCAGAAATGACATGCAAAAGTTTTTGGAATGTTTTGTATCTTAAAAATCCCAGATCTGACATCCACCAACCATGTAACTTTGGGAAGGTCCTTAGCATCTCTTTGAAATGAGGATAGTAACCATGTGGTGACAAATAGGGAGAAACACCCATTTTGCCACATCTGGGTGGTATACACACGATTGCTTGGTTTATTATTCTTCATGCTTCTCTCATGCCTGAAAGGGAATCTATGCCTTTATAAATCTATGCCTTTATAAAAGGTAATTATAATAAGCTCATTGGCATATATGTTTGTGGCTTAGGTTGTAGGGTTCAAGGTCAGTTAGAGGGTGAATTAACGTATGTAATCAGAATCTCCTTTGGGATTCCCATAAATTGCCAGCACCCAAATCCTTAGAATGTCAGCACTAAGAATATCCCTTTTGTGTCTTTTTGCATTTGCAAACCACTGGAAAAAGGGCAACTCAGGCTTGATGTGTCTAGCCCAGAACTCTGGATCTCTCTCCCTTCCCCAAGCTCTGCTTCTCCGAAATCTTCCCCAGCACAGTTGATGACAACTCTGTCTTTGCAGCTACCCAGGCCACAAAGAGTGATTTGGGAGGAAGAATTTAATTGGAGGGGTTCTGACACGTACATGTTGAGTATGGATTGTTTTGTAGTTCAGAAAGAATGTGAAGATCTTTGCACTCAGTCCTCTACATTGAAGAGTTCACACGCAGAGTCACCAGGGCAGAGGGGCGTACCTGCTGTCTGCGCAACACCTGCCCTGCGTAAGGCACTCTTCTAAGCATTTGCAAGGATTGTATCCTTGAGAACCACTTATGTGTGGACAGGTGCTGTTAAGTCTCATTTGCAGATGAGGTAGAAAGGACACATAGTGTGTCCAGGGTCATGCTTCTGGGAAGTCGCAGAGCTGGGATCTGAACCAAGCGGTAACTTGAGTCTGCTCTTTCATCCCGATGGTCTGCTGTGTATCATTTTTACTTCTCTAACCATAATCTGTCTGTGAGTGGAGGAACAAAAACTTTACCTGAAAAAAAAATTTCTAGTTATACCGTCAATACGCTGGATGGTGGCTAGACAAGGCGTGCTGCAGTGTGGCTCTGAGAAGGACAGTGTCAGTGCCTTTCAGGTTTCTATCTGACCACACTGGAGTTTCCCCACGCAAAAGCATAGTATGGGAATAGGAAAAGTGCCTGTTAGTCTGAAAACCTTGCCCAAGGGGAGATCTCCTGAATGATCCAGATTCAGGGTCGTTCGTTCAGCTTCACAAACACACCCTGATTTTGTGCCTATTCTGTGTCCCGGCCTAGGCACTGGGGAGATGGAGATACCAAGTTGTCTAAAGCACTGTGCCCCAAAAGGCTATGGTGACTATCGGTCCAGAAGTGACAGGTTTGGTGGAAACCCTGCCTGGTATGTGCAAATTACACCCCGTAAAAAGAAGAAACAGAGGTATTTGTTACCTTAAAAATGATGTGACTAAGTCACCACCACTTGTTGTGTGACTCCTGAGAACAGCACACTGTCTGACGCCATCAGACTTTGACATCGGGGAGGGAAGTGGTCAGGCCCCGAGTCTAGCTGAATCCAGACCTGTGGCCCTTTCAGTCCCGGAATGAGCACTGTGCTTCTTCTCCCCCCAGGATCCCAGGAGCAAGCACAAGTTCAAGATCCACACTTACGGAAGCCCTACCTTCTGTGATCACTGTGGGTCCCTGCTGTATGGACTCATCCATCAAGGGATGAAATGTGACAGTAAGTAAGTTTTCTTTTCCAGTTCCTGGTGGGGCTCTGCCACTCATGCCCAGGCTTTACTGGGTGCTGCAGGCTCGTGACTGTCCAACACCAGCTCCTCTCCAGGGAGAATTGCTTCAGATATATACCAGACCATAAACGAGTAGAATCTTCCACTGTCGAAGTTCTGGTCTATTAAGATTCTTAATTGCCTAATTATGAACCAAAAGAAAAAAAAAAGAAAAAACACTCAGTTTGCAAATGAAGTTGGGTGCTTTCTCTTTTTTTTTTAGTGTTAGAAATCCTCAATCACTGTAAAATGCAGCCTAGTCAAACCCCACATAAGGTGCCCCACCTCCAGATTCCACATTTGGTTAGGCTTCAAAATAAGGCTAAGCAACCGTAGTCATTATCATCTTATGTCTTTAATTAGTGGGTGGACTGTGGAAAAATCCAGCAGGCTCTCCTTAAAACTTAAGTCAAAATGAACATAAAAACCAGGAGAGCATCTGGCTTCCGTCCCCTCACCCTGCGCATGTGTGGACACGCCCAGTGTCTATCAGTGCCCTCCTGGTGTTCACCAAGGACCCCTGACAGGGAAGACAGCAGCTCTTGCTTGCCCTCCTTTTCTGTTCTGTGTGTGTCTCTGTCAAGAAAACCTACTTTAAAACTCTTTACTTTCATCATTCTTAAAGTATGAGACTCCCCAGGCTATCTGTTTCTTTTGTTTTTTGTTTTATTTTGTTTTAGGACATGAATGGTAAATTACTGAGCCCATTTTTCTAATGGGTGGGGAAGCATTGTGGGAATTTCAGCATATCATCATTTGTTAATTTCTATTATGATAGCAAAAAGCTTGATATTTGTATCCTACATGGCGCAAACAATATCTTAAAATGCACATGTAGAGGAGATGGCGAGCTTCTCGGACCAAAGGGATTCTTCACCTTACAAAGTTGTGCACCTAGACAACACCTCTGTTATCCTCCAGACCTGTGGCCTTCTGTGCTTCAAGAGACTCCAAGATTCCAGAGACATGGCTTTCAGGGGTTCTGCAAGTGCTAGTTTAAGTGCATTGGCAAACACATTTGAGCTATTTCAAAACTTGGAACAAAAACAAGCACTCAGATGTGTTACGTAGTCCACTGATGTGGGGGAGCTCATACTGCCAGCTTCACTGGCGGGGAGAACTTGGATTCAGGTTTCTCCTTCCGCATCCACTTAACTCAAGATTTTGCTGGGATTGTGAAGTGTGCCACTAAACACTGTTCCTGCTTGTATTTACTTTTCTGTATGAAGCAGGGTTTGTGGATGCTGTACAGCTTTAAGAAAATCTAGAAATAAATGGGACGTGGAGGCTAGATTGAGACATTCAATGGCGCCCCCGGCAGCTGCTTTCAGGGTTTTGTTTGGATCAGAGGGCTCTATCGGTGATCATTTAATGTCTTTATAATGAATAAATGGCATAAATTTAAATTTATTGACTAAGTTTATCCTAGTAAAATAACACACATCTGGTTTAGATATTAGAGTTCTGCTTTAGATTTCATTTGAAAAAAGAGTTCCATTAGTAAAAAATTTTGAGAACCACTGACTTGGAACAGCGCTTTTTTCTTCTGTTTTGCTTTAAACTCTGTTCCTTGGAGCCCTAGGGCTTCTGGGGCTGCTGCCTGTGCTCCTTCCTAGAAGAAGGAAGAAAATGAGCAGATGGGCCCTGGGACCCCAGGCCCTTCTGCAGGGAAGCCTCCCCTGTTCCCCTGCGTTTGGGGGCTCCCAGGCCTCCATGTGAACTGCTTGGAGTGGAAGGAGTCAACAGCCACTGTGCAGGTGGCCTCTTTGTAGACTGGAGAGGGAAGTCAGAGAGAGCAAATGAGCTTTCCAAAACACAAAGCCAGTCAGTGGTGGAGCCGAGAGGGACACAGCCCCGTGCATTTCCACCTCCCATGCCCCATGATGCCCACCTGCTTTCCAGAGGCTCTGGCGTGTAGCTCCTTTAAATTGCAAATTCTGCCAAGGAACCGAAAGGTGAGACTGGGTAGCACAAGTGATCTCCATGGCATACTTTTCTTTTTTTTTTTCTTTTCTGAGACTGCAGGTGTGGACCGACCACACCTGGCTAATTTTTTAAGTTTTTGTAGAGACAGGGTCTCACTATGTTGCTTACGCTGGTCATGAACTCTTGGGCTCAAGTACTCCTCCAGCCTCGGCCTCCCAAAGTGCTGGGATTACGGGCCTGAGCCATTGTGCCTGGCCTGCTTGTTGAATTTTAAACCTTTTTTTGAATTCACTTTTTTTCTTGTTTTTTATTTTATTTTATTTTAAAGTTGTGGGAGACAAGTCAGGAGTGCCTACATAAGTGATTTAGGTGCAGGTAAAGTTGTGGGTGCCCCACTGGACCTCGTTTCCCCTGGCTTAGGGTCAGGCATCCTTACTGATGTTACGTGCCCCCTCCCCTCCTCTGGCAGTATCCTGCTGCCAGTCCCTTTCTGGTAGTGTGGTGGTAGGTGTTCAGGATCCACTTATGAGTGAGAACATGTGGTACTCAGTTCTTCATTTCTGTGATGTCCAAATCCATCCAAGCTGCTGTGAAGACCATAAGTTTGTCCTTCTTTATGGCTGCATAATATTCCATTGTACATATGTACCACATTTAAAAAAATCCAGTCCACTTTCAGTGGGCAGCATGGTTGGTTCCATGTTTTTGCTATTGTGAATAATGCTGCAATAAACAT